GCCGAAAGGTTCCGTTTGAAAAGAGTTAAATCTCAAGGTCAGTATTCCGCCGCTCTCCCAGGAATATTGGCTCGACAATAGCTAGCAAATAGTTCTTATCTTTTTTTCTTTTCAAACTTTTCAAGCAACATAACTAGAACTAACTAAAAAAACAGGTCAACCTATTCAGTGTCAAATAGTATCAAAATCGTATATAGTTTTTGGAGGTTCTTTTGAAGAAAATACTACTTTTTCAACTTTTTCAACTCTTTCCTCTAAACCAGAAACATTTTTAACTACATCAGAAATCGTTTCTCCTCTGTTTGTTGAATTCTGATTGAACTGCATTAATTTTATTGTCAACACGCTGATTATGTTTTTGATGAGCTTCTATGTTCCTTTTTTTGTTTCTATTCCCTTGTACTTTCTTCAATTCTTCTTCCCTCATTTGTTCTCTCAAGATTTTATTACAACATTGGCTACATCTTCAAGCTATTTTTTGCCCCCTCAGATCAACTCCTTTTTTATCTCTTAATCATTTTATTCTTTTAGGTGTGTAAAGTGAGACATCCCTCCACTTTCCTTGTTTACTATGTTTGCCACATCAATCACACGATTGTTCTTATAAGTATAAACTACATTAGCATTTTCAACAAAGTAATTATCTTCATCTTTGAAATTTTCAAGAAATACCATAACAAAAATAAAATCACTAAGATTATAACCTAATACTAGTAATGTATATTTATACATTAATTATTATTTCTTTTATTTACGTTTTACAAATTAAAAGCAGGAAAAGTTAGCAATATTTATTTAAAAATTAGACAGAAACTTAATGAACACAAGAACAAATTAAAGTGGTGAAACATGATGGTAAGTCATGCTATATATTTTATTCATTGCCAGTATATGTTGGTCTTGGACAAGTAATATCTTTGAATTCATCCCTTACAAATGGGCGAATATTTTTATAGAGATACTCTTGACGTTTGTAATCCAATGGAGGAGGTGTTAGTATTAGAATTGAGAAAAATTTGATCTCTTTGGTAATTTCAGAAACACTTGCTTTTCTAGTTTTTGGCAAATTAAATTCAGTAAACGCACCATTAGCAACCGGCTGACATTCAGACGCATCGGTAACAATTCCAAACACCCTATCCACGTCCTGCCCATTATCGATTTCTTCGGCTTTACGTTTACGTGACAGAGTTGACTCCATCTGTACAGACGCCTGAGCGAATCCCTTCATAAAGTCTTCCCTTTTAACTTCAATTATACCAAGGATCCTACCGGTTGAACGACATTCTATTGCATAGTCAAGATTTCCTTGCCCATTTCGACCCTCAATAAGTTTTTCCGGTATAAGTTTGAAATTATCTTTGTAAAACGAGACTCCGGAAGCCAGATAGCAGTAAGAATAAATAGTCTTCGTTGCCTCATTGGCCTTGTTAAGAGGAGTAACATTTTGACTTCTGCCATTAGGTGCTTAATCACAGCCTTGGAGTTATCACTGTTTAAGTCTGCAGAACCACATAAAAAAGGAGGGAATACGTCAATGTCGGGATTTGGGTCACTGCTAATACCATATAGCTGGCACACTTTGGGGAAAGACCAATCTGAGAAAGGTTTTGATGGCGTCTCGATGAATACGGTAAATTTAAGTTTTGTTTTTGAAACTAGTGACTGCAACATCTCACGGAATGAGACATCGTTCCTAGGTAAATATCTATCCCCATCACTCATAAAGTTTAGTACCGCTCCATCGTTCTCAAGCGCTGGCGGTTTGTACAATTCACGTATATAATCTTTGAGATCTTTGAGACCTGCTTGCTCGATATTTACAGTCCACTTATTTGCCTTCTGTTTCGGTTTAACGACGACGTCGAAGTCTGCAATGCAACAGCTTAGTTAGTAAAATCCTTTTTTTTAGGCAGTAGTTTGATGAGGTGCTACCTTGTTTTTTATAACCTAAAATTTTCAGCCGGCCAAAAATTTATACGTACCATGTGTGGACTTGCTAAGTTTCTCCTTCAACGAGGCGACTTTCTCAAGTAATTTCTGTTCACGGCTCGTGGTGGCGGTCTCTGGCGGTTCGACTAAGACGTGAATATGCTTCTTGGGTGGCTTCGAGGTCCAGTAGTCTCCAATTTCATTTATCGCTAACAGCTCGACACTGTCCTGGAGTGAGAGACTGCTTAAGAGATCGTCGCGATCGCCAGGAATTTCTACTTTCCAAAGCTTGAGCTTGTCTGCGTCTAAACCAGCAAAGTCATTATGTTTTTCCTTCTTTATGGTCTTCTTGAGGTCACATAAAAATCACGGGCGTGCATATAGAGAGGGTAAAAAAACCGTGCAATGCAGAATATAGAGGGTGTGCATATATTACTAACTCCCAGCTTGGGAATAAGACTTGGCGTGCATATATGGAGGGTAGACTGTAATTTAATTATAATATAATTTTTATTTATCTAAAAGTTTAAAATTAATCCACGTAATAAATTTACAAATCCGAAAGCGCTGTTGAATAGCCATCTGCGATGTCCTGTATTTGATCTCTCTTGTTTTTCACTAAATAAATCATTTCGAACGACAACTCCCGACTCATATTGTCAATTCACTAACAGCAGTTTTAGTTAATTGGGCAACGTTCGCATTTTGTGGTCCATGGTGAATGATTCGAACGGATATGTTTATTTCTATCTATCAGTAGCGGTAGTTTCCTAGTGCATAAATAGAAAATGGATTTTCAATACCTTGTCCGTTTATGTTCTAATGTTCGTTCTAAATGACCAAAGAACCACCTTCCAATTATAAGACAACGTTCAAACAGACCAACGTTGATCGTATTGTCACATGCATATAATGTGCAGTTTTGGGAAAAGCTGTATTGTATGCACGATTATCAATTAATTCAGATATCGACAACTCTTTAAAAAGTTTTCCGACACTTAATTCCGCTTTTTTCACTACTTTGACAACTTGCTATATACTCGGACAGCTCTTGTTTTGTTATTATCCTGCCAAGTCTATGTGGCATAGTCCCAACTCTAATAACCAGACATGCTTTCTAACTATCGACAAAGCGGTTGGAATTTTTTTTACTGGAAAAACGCGCGATCGGATCTCAACATCAACAACGAGTAAGAAATAAAATTACAGGAAAGACTCAGATAAGAATGACAAAGAATGGCACACGTAATATAAATAAAGTTTTACTTGAATGAAATATAAATCAACGCGCAATTAGAGACATCAAGACATCACTTGGAAGAGGACAACATTGACTATCCCACAAAGCGCGTCCCTTACCAGAGAACTGATAGAACCATTTTGTAAAGCACTGTACAATATTATTTTGTTTTTTATTAAATTTTTTATAGACAAATGGTAATCGTGAACTAACAAACCATTGCTTTTTGCTAGGTAGCTTGTTAGAGGTTTGCTGCTTGGCATGCTGGTTTGGAAACAAGCTGTTAGATTATTTATCCCCCATAATTAATCCACGTAGCGTAAAACAAGGAATAAAAAAAAGTTATTCGTGTTTCGCAGTATAATAATAATGCGCTCCAAACATTTAATAAATTGAGACGCAAACTCGATTACGTTCTGTGTCATCGATAAACTCAGTAGAATGTGACCACAAACGCCCGAGAAACTATATAATAATAAGGGAACCTTATTGGTGAAAAAATTTAACCGCTTATCTTATTATTATCATTATTATTATGGAATATTAGTAATAATAATAATAATAATGAGTGTTGTTTCACACAGAATGCCTAAAATTCAAATTAGTTTAGATACAGTCTAATAGTAATAGGACTGATTCGGTTAAACGAAATCTAATCGGTATAAAGAGGTTTGACTGTAGTCTATATGACCTGGCTATTCGTTTCTGAAAAAAGCATTCTTTCAGACTTAATTAATTCATAATGTCTTTTTAATTAGAACCTGCACGAGCATTTCATTGACTGTAATACGCGTCACAGCGGAAATAAACCAAAGGGACAACGAAACACTCATAGCATTAATGTTATGCATGTCAACTCCTAGACAGATGCCTGATTTGCGATATGCGTGATAATAAGCACATATTCTTTATAATTATTCCTGCACGGTTGACTTTTCTTATAAGATTATAGTGAGCGTTAAGTATAGCGAATAGAGAAAATGCTATACGACAGTTTGTGAATATAATCGAGTTAGCATAGAAAAGTGGTATGTTTTTCCTAAGCGATCTTCTCCACCAAAAGAAGTGTGCTGGAACGTGGTAAACCTGGTACAGCTCAGGACACGTCGAATTTTTCCTACGGGGCAGTGGACCACGCGACGGGTAAAGAGTCGGTAGTAGTAGCAAGACGACAGCTGCGACTTTGTCATTAAATCAGATGAATAAGATTATTAAACAACACACTGTTATTATTAACAATTTCTATCGTTTTCACCGCTCGTTTCCTCATTTCAATTTTTAATGGCAGAATTAAGGATGCTCAAACTTCTTCTGTGGTAGAAGACTCCGATCTAATTAATTATAATCACGATCTCGCAGGATAAACGCCAAGACTTTCTAAATTTGGTATGAATTTCATAGAAAATCGATCGTTTTGATCGTTCTTGTGGAAAAGCTCGGTTTGATCAATGAGTTTTGGAGAAGTCAACAGTCGATTCATTCAGTGGTATAAAAGGAACGGGGGATACTTGTCTGACAAAATATCATTCAAGGATTACTCCGACGAGGGAGCAGGAAGAGGGATGATTGCTGTTGAAGATATAGATGTATGTGGTAGTGTGTCAAATTTTAAGAATCTCTTGTGCAATAGCCACTTATGTTAATCCGTCAACTTTAATACAAGCCAGCCTCAAACGGTTCTTTTTAAAACGCCCTATTCGCTTCTTCTCAACTTTCAAACATCATCATTGGCTCCGCTCCTTCCTGACGACTTGTTTTCCAATCTTCGAAAACACAATTCATGGTTTCCTTTAATACTTTGTTTGATGTACGAAAGCACGATGGAGAATTCAAAATGGAGGGAGTATTTTAGCATCCTACAGAAAGAGTACGCAACTCCTATGTTCTGGGAGAATGAGGAAATAAAGGAGTTGAAGGGGACTGGTGTAATAGGTGAGTGTATAAGCGGATAGAATTACAAAGTGGTAGATGATTATTCATGGATGTAGTAAGAGGTGAACCGGCTTGGAGTAACTTGTATTATAGAGAAGTGACTATAAATGATATAAAAAAAGATAAAATCGGAAAAGAAGATGCGGAGAAAGGATTTGTCGACTATTTGCTGCCTGTGATTGAGGTATCGTGGGACTATATCTGATATATCAAGTCCGTATTCTCGTAGCCATATCTTAACATGCTATTGTTTATTGACTCCACTCATGCAGGGTCATTCTGAGCTTTTTGATCCAACGGTCCATAATATCTCCTTATTTCATCAGATAGGATCTATGATCATGGCGAATGCTTTCTACAATGAACAATTTCAAGATAAAAATGAAGAAGACGAAGACGAAGGAGAAGAAGGAGAAGAAGGAGAAGAAGAAGATGAAGAAGAAGAAGATGATGATGATGAAGATGATGATGAAGAGGAGGAGGAGGAGGAGGATAATGAGAGTGAAAGGGGGGATAACGATGATGGAGAAGTCACAATGGTACCAATGGCTGACATGCTTAATCATAAAACTGGATTCAATAACGTACGTTGGCAGGCACGTCATTAAAATGCAACTAAGCAGTCAATTTGTGGACTAATAGTTTGTTGCGCGTAGGCCAGATTATTTCGTGAAGATGATGGGTTGGCTATGATTGCAATTAAGAAAATAACAAAGGGTGAACAAATCGTAAGTATTTTTTTCAAAGATTGTGATAATGATTGAAATACAAAATCGTTTATCAGTTTCAAAATTTAGTATAACACATATGGAGACTTATGCTCAGCAGGTCAGTCTCAGTCCGCCTTGATATTTTATAACTACGTGTAGTTTCTCACATATCAACTTCAATAGATCTTCTTCGGAAATATGGCTTTGTCGATGTAGACAACGTGCATGACTTTGTTGAAATCGACAGACAAATGGTAGTTGATACCCTCTGCAATGATAACAAAATTACCAAAGAGAAAAAGGTACAATTATTTATTGAAGCCTTCCGCTATTATATTTCATGCTAACATTAAAGCACGTTATGCTAGGTTAATTTCCTGCTTGAAGAGAACGTCTTGGACGAGTTAGTATTTAAAAAAAAAACGATGAAAATCCAAGCTATGCTTTTTTTACTATACTCAATCAGGCATCCTCATTCTATAGTGCGTTTGTGATAGACATAAATGGTGATATTACGGCAGAATTGATTATAACCGGTAAGAATTAACATTAAAATGGATTTGTATAATCTTTCCCAATATTAATTGTCTTGGCTGCAGCGAAAGTGCTTGTCTCCCCGATACGAGCAAATGCAAAACTCCCAAAGCCCATTCTGACGCACGATGTCATACCGTCTTTGATAAGGCTGTTGGATAAGAGATTGGACGACTATAAGACTGCCATTGAGGTACAGCATGACCTTATTAAGAGGACAAGATTATCAGTTCTCAATTAATGCTTTTTTTTTCACAGGATGATGAAAGAATTTTAAAGCACGTATACAACGTACCTGTCAACTTATATAATGCAGTAGTCGTCAGACTAAGTGAGAAAAAAATATTGATCAAGGCATCGGAGAAACTAAATTCATTATTGAAAAGAAAGTTTGAGAGACAAAAAAAGAAGAGAAAGTACAGCCATCCTCAATAATTGATGCATAGCGTTTATCACAAGCCAAAGATGTATAACGGATTATGCAGGCCTACCATTCAACCTATATTTTACAATCTGTACGACGAAGTATGCATGTGTGCTTCAATGTCTTTCTTCTTGAGAGTTTCAGGTGCGCCCATCTGCAGACAAACAATACATAAATGGGTAGTTACAATGGCGCAAGATATCCGGATAATGCAGACTGTATTTTATACCCGAATTGACGTATTTAGGAGGACAAGTATATCACAACAGATTGAAAACAAAGTTATCACTAACCTGTTCACCCTATCACTAGTACTATGATATAGTTTCAAATAATATAAAGTCCCTGCATTAACTGCGTTTTTATATTTTTAGTAACTTGCATTTTTTTGACGTATCTGCGAATGTATTCCCTGCAACCTCCTAGCTTCGTTAAATATTCATTTATCTTTGCCTAAAGAGATGGCCATGGAGTTGCCTAAAATTCGGTTTGAAATACAAGAAGACCGCGATAATGAAGGGTTCACAGAGACAACTTTTACTTTCACCACTTTTGAAAAGCTGCCGGATAATCATGGTTGTATTTCTGTGAGTCCAAACGGTCGCAATATCGCTATAGTCGATCCTGGTGGGTGAAGTTTATTATTTTGGGTTACGATTTAATGTCATTGATTATAATTCTGCTCGTTCTATTGTTCTATGCTAACTTTTGATCCGCTTTCCCAGACGCTACTGCTATAAAAATTTATAATGTAATGATAGACGGCATGGTAACGTCTGTCAATGAGATATTGCTCCCGTCAAACTTTGCAAGAAAATTGGAAGCTAAAGAAGTTCATTACTCACTCGCAATATCCGACGATTGCACAATAGCAATATCAGTATTCAACGTATCACCCGACACTCTTCCTGATGTTAAATGGTCTAGCGAACTAAGCGAAGTAGACGTAAGCGATGACAATAAACTTTGTTTGCATCATTTGACTGTCGGCTCAACTAGAATAATAGTCACTCAGGAGGGCAAAAGCCTTGATCCTCTGAGCGCCGCAGGCATTATTCGATTTGCTGACGATAACACCGTGATCGTACTTCAAAATGAAGGTGCCTTTACGCTTTTTAACATAAAAAAGAACTATCAAAGAAAAATCGCATATCCACCAACAATGAGGGAGCGTCTATCATTAATAGAGGTATATGAACAAATCTTGTTGCTAGATAGATGTTCTGTCGGTAAATGGCTTATGAGTAATGATTCATCAAAAGGACTCGATGCTTTCGACATCACTAGTGGTGAATTGATACAAAAGTTTCAAAGAATCCCCGATAATAACGCCGCTCTTATTCCCTTTGCTGCAATATCCTCCGACTCGAAGTTTTTGGCTGCTTGCGATAAAGACGGACGGGTGAATTTATATCTTACGGAAAATGGTATACATGTAGCCACTCTTAGGGCGGAAATATATGGACATTTCTTGTTCGCTGCATTTATTAATGACGATAAGAAACTGTTTACCATTATTGAAAATGACAGCAGCTATTTCAGTGTAATTTATGAACTATCAGACTTTTACACCAACACAGAGTATCATTCAACCGTTTGGCATTTAAAAAAAGATTTTGGATTCGGCAATTTAAAAAAAAGGAACCCAATAGTACAGACTTTTGCTGGATTATTCTATCTTGGAACGAGTGGTAAACCAACAAAGATAAATGTGGATTCAATCGCCGAGTATGCGTTTAGCGAAAATACAATTTTTCGCGACGGTAAAAAGATTTCTCAGAAAACAGATGAACAGCCACATGAAATATCTAACAGATTGTCCATCAACGTTTCCGAAAAGAAAACCAGAGCACTTAATCCGTTTATACATGATACTACTGATTTTGAGCCATGGGACAGAACAGGACGACCGCACAGATCAGAAAGTCTGGATGATTCAAGATGTTTATTCCTGATTGTTGGAGAGGAGACAATACAGATATGGGAAGAGCGCAAGGCACTGTACTTTTGGGCTGCACATGATTTTATATCCAATCAATCGAAAGCGTCCGCTGATAAATCCGATAAGTTTCATATATTTGATAAATTCGAGAAAACCGATAAAACCGATAAAACCATCACCAAAATTGAGTATCACACATCCCGACGAGACGGAAATAATTTGATATTAAGCGTAAAAACTGATGACAAACCAGAGGATACTATTATTTACTTGTGCGATATATTTAGCAAAGGCATGCCTATAAGGCAGTCAGTGGTGTCACTCGTTAATAGCTTGGCTTTTATCAAGCGGATACAGCATCAACAGACATCCAGCTCGAGTTATGTTCGTAATTCAAAAAGGATACGTGATCTTGAACAGTGTACATGTCAAGCCATTTATGATGTGATTGCGAATCAACCGGACATTTGGCAGTTAATGGATTCAAAATATAAAGTCATGAGAACTTTATTACGTGCACAGTGTGACAAGATTATAACCGAAATATTGAAACCGGAGAGCCATTTACATCGACCGCAGTTTTATAACGATGGACATCACTATTATGAAAGCGATTTAACGATCGCATCTGGAACGAGTAGGGAATGTCTAAGAAAGTTGTTAGATTATTATAGTCAGAAGACATTAGAATTAGATACAGTTGGCTGGATGTCCACATTCTCATGTGCTTTACCATCGTTATATAGCAAACATCGAGGTCAGTAGACATTTCACAGAACTGTTTACATAGTTCTGCGAATGCTATTCACGTTATGCTCGCTTTAGACACTTTGGCAAAACAACTAACCATGTTTTTGTTACTAGATATTATTGATGAATTTTTCGCGAGATCAGCTGTCTTTGGAGCCATGACTATCGATGCCGAGAAATTTGACTACTGCAATATTGACTTAGCCCCGGAAGAACTAGATACAGTACAAACGATTGATCTTATTCCAAAGTTACAACCACCGCCCGAGCTGGATGATGACGACAACGACGCCTCTCTATCGGTCTTCCAAAAGATTCGACACTATGGACTCAACCCATTGTTCAGGAGGTCACGTGAATTAGTACCTGAAGAAGAATACAAACAGGCTAGATTCGGTACATTGTGTCTAGCTCCTCTACCTGAATTCGATGCCTACGGTAGTTCAACAGAGTGGAAAGTTCGATTCTCAAGGCCGGTATTTTTGCGAAATACGGCAGAATGGTTATCTAAACTATCAACACCATCGTTCTTACTTTGGATTCCGGCGGTTAACGTTCTGTATATGTTGTTCATATCGAGATCCACCAAATGTACACGAAGCCCTTTCCTCAATCTGTTTAAATTGCTTCCATCAAATTCTTTGTTCGAGAGTCCTTGTATGGAGGCCGTGGTCGACTTTAAATGGAGGAAATATGGGCAGAACAAATTTGCTCAATATCTTATATACTATTGTGTATGTTTTGTAATGTTTTCAGTGCTGGTATGGAAATGGCTGAACGACGAGCGCTCGCAACTGATGAAGTTTTACGCGGTTATAATGGTTTTCAGCTATGTATTCTTCTTGCTGTTCGCTTTGAAGAAATTAAAGGTGAATCCAAGAAGTACTTATGCATGGGTCGAGTTACTGACAATCATAGCTGCCGTTGGAGCCAATATTCTCATGTTTCTGGATGCCATTGGCGTTTTAAAAAATGGATCGCAGCCAATCACAATCTATTCTGCGTTCGCTATTCTCAGTCTGTGGGTGCAATTTGTAAGTTTTCGCTCAAATTTTCTAAGAGTGAGAGGGGGGGGGGGGGGGACATATGAGAGACTTACTAAATATCTATTTATTGGTTTAGATCCTGATGCTTAGAGTCGTAAAAGGTAATTTCATTTCAAGTCAGCTGTCTTGACCTTTGTAATAATCAATTGACTAATATCGAATTTTTTGTATTATCAGGCATTGGACATTATGTCAGCACACCTATATCGATACTTAGACATACTTATCGTTTTCTAATAGTCATGGCTTTGTTTATAATTGGATTTGGCCACACCATGTAAGTTATTATCGTCAACCGTTTTTGGATATATAACTGAACCTTGAAACTGAATCATTACGCGTTTACAATAGATTCGTCCTAGTAGGCAGTCAAAATAATAACAATGATAATAGCAACAGCGCTGGAGATTCGACTCTCGCATCAAACAATAGTACAAATTCTACTGATAGTAGTAGTAATGATACTAGTAGCACCACAAACAATCCATTCAACAATATAGCTGATGCTGCGGTAGCTGTTTTCTACTGGACTGGTGGCACCTCCCCCTTGGTAACAAATGAGAGTTTTCTCGCGCTGACTGTAATCATGATAATGGGCAGTTTGATACTAGTTACAATGATGCAGAATATACTTATAGCTTTAATGACGTAAGTTGTAATTTATGTTTTGCCAATCAACATCTTGTATGAACTTTTTCTCTAAACTGGGTCTTAAATAATCCGTAGAGCGGTTGTCGAACTCGTGAAAGAAGATGAAAAGAATATGATATTGGTGTTACGGGCCGAATATCTAATTGTAGTTGAAGAAATGCTCCTCAGTGCAAAAGAGCACAACAATAGGGAATGGTTCCCAAAGCACATATATTATTATTCTAATACGGATTTGGTTACAAAATGGAAGAAAAAGGCTAGAGTAAAGGCAAATGTTGAGAGAAAAATGTTCAGGTTAGAAAATAAGGTTGAAGAGATTCACGAAAAGTTGGCAGCAATCCTTAACTCTTTAAAAACAGATCCATAGATTGCGATAGATCTATTAGTAATTAACACAAAAAAAGAAAAGAAAAGAAAAGAAAAGACGACTCGTAGTCGCATTTGTAAAATAGTATTAAAATTAGATTGAATTTTAGAAAATAAACAAATCAAAAACTTTTACTAATAAGTGTAATAATTACCGCGTAATATTATGGCATCTTGAATTGAGATTAGATGTTCAGTCGGATGCCCGAGAAACGTTTATATTCGAAAAATACTTCGTCTATTTTCCCAATGAAATAACATGTTACATATTCCATAAGTTGCATGCTAATATTTTCGATTGTCGATAAATAAATGTTTACTTACGAACATTCGGAACAAGTAATTTATTCAAATTCTAATATAACCAAAGGTTATAAGACCTTGCTGACTGATCTTTATACGAGATAGCTTCGATGACCAGATGTGGTTATTTTCCTCCAAAGAGCGATTCCAAGATCAATCCTTTACCCCCACCGCAAGTTACATAAAAAATGATGGTGGGGCTTTGGGTTAACACAAAAAACAAACAAACGAATTATATCTTATCGTTAATTAAACAAACAAGGTTATTCCCGAAGAATAACCCGACTCAATTTTAACTCTGAACATTATAATAGAAACATTTATTGTAAAACCATTGCATGTCTAATTTTGCCCAACAGATAGCTTTATACGTTTATGGGTATAGTGCAATCAAACTTCTTAATTTATCATTAATTATTATTATTATTATTATGTGTGGGAAAGGCAATTAAAGAGGTAATCTCGACTCTACCTTTAACTCGCTACATATTGTCTGTCCATTGAGAAAGTCCCGCAGGTCTCACTTCACGACCTTTTGTATAGTAACAACGTCTTCCGTCAAAGTTCTCCAGCACGTATTATAACTTTGAAAACTCTTTCAAACAAACGCGGTTTCACTAACCGTCATCGATAATTACAAAGATAATAGAACCATTCGCGATTCTTCTCGGACGCATTTGATAACATTTTTACAATCAGGTGTTTTAATATTCGCCAAAGTATTTATATGCTGCGCTTGACGTTTTAGAACGACGGCTGTCACGTGACAATCAGAAAGCGCCATTTGAAAACATAACAAAGTGCTTAATTAATAAGTTAATCGCGTGTGCATTACTGTCTAAGGGTTGTGAATCTCTGGACAATTTCAAGTATGTAATTTTTGTTACCTCAATTCTTCTGGTATTAATATGAGCTTACTGAAATTTCCGTTTATCTGACAATGTGTTACGGTCGGCAATTGTTTGGTTGGGAGAGCCAATTAAATCTTTAACGTAGGCGTGTTCACCGACCAGGGAGTTGGTAAATTTAGACTCAACGGTTCACTGCCCTTACTCCAGTGATGTCGTTATGACTGAATGCTTCGTCTACAAGTGACATAATTTCGTTAATTTTCGTGCGCTTTTCTCACTCCCTATACGATGTACTTCCTGTACTCGTATCCGGATAAGGGTAACCGTATGTAAATTATTAACAACTATAATTTACGACGGAATCGAAGGGAAATATTTATTTCTATTTTTAAACAGGGCGGTCTCCGATCCGGTGTATTGACTAGTCAGTTTATCCGTCACTTGTTTCCTAAACTAATTAAACAATTTAAAATTTATTATCGACGCGCTCAATAATTAACTAAACTCGCTTTCCGTTATTACGTACTCGCTCAACGGACAGTTTCGCAAGCCTGATGGCTCTGACTACTTGACCTTTTCGCCTAAGGGTGATGTAGGTATTGTCCGGATTAATTAGTTAAAAATTCAAGCAAAGATAATGATAGAAAGAAATAAAATATACAGGATTCAAAATTTAAAAAAAACAAATATATATTTCCGTGGATTATTAAGAACGCAAAAAACAACATACACAACATGAGGGTTAACGATGGAATAAAGTCGCTTATATATCTTTTCTATCGCCGCTGTCGTCATTGCCGCCAATTTTTGAAACACTAATTTTTTCCTAATTAGCTTTTTGTACTGTGTCATCCCGTCACCAATTTTTGAAACATCAAAAATTATTTCCTAAGTGGCTTTTTGTACTGTCATCCCGTCACCAATTTTTGAAGCATCAAAGTTATTTCCTAATTAGCGAATCTAGTGTTACTGTTCTAAAATTAAATCGATTATGACGACTGCGGGGGACTGCGGAGGATTGCGGAGGAAGATTTTATCCATGTGACTCACTTTTCTGCTTCAGCAGATCCGCCTGCCGTAACAATATTATATATTGCACATTTAACAAAGTGAGAAACTCCTTGAAGACTCTTGTACTAGTGGATGGTGATTGTAGATAGGAGCATTAATATTCAGTACATGATTTTTGATTTCTCTTTGTCAGATCCGACGGATATCGATAATAATCTTCCGTGATTTCCGCTCCGTGATACGAACGATCTACAATGGCTGCGG